AATGAAATTATTTTACTGTTTGGAAAAGATCAATAGTTCTACTTTTGGGTAAAATGTATTAACATTTAATTTCATAAATAAATAATAAACAATTAATAAAATATAAAAATACAAAAATGAAAAAAATGCATAAATGCTGTAAAAATAACATTCAAGCACATGTATAATATCATATAATTATCACATTAAATAAAAAGTAAATGTGAAATATCAAAATTATTTTTACACATACAAATACAAAAAAAAAATTATAGAAAAAATTAAACACATCTATAATTTTATATTTGCACTACTATTAAAAATATGAATAAGATTGTGAAACTTTCTTTTAACTGAAATACTCATTTTTGAATTTAGTGCCTATTTAATTATGAGGTTTAAATTGTAAATTGAACTACTATTTTTCACCTCATTCAATTGCCTATATTTAAATGAAAAAAAAAGATACACTCAAAAGATAAAACATTATAAAAAGAAGAACCTAACCAAGTAGGTAGGCTTGTCAATGATACTTGCAACTTCACAACTCGATCTGATTATCAGATATTTGGATGAGGTGTTTATGTAATTAGATTTGGATTTTGCAATCTAAATTTGATTAATAATAAAAAAATAAAAAATCCGTATTTATAGAAATTTTTTGATACATTATTACTATCATTATCATCATATAGAATTGCAATGTGCAAAGCATTTGCACACTTACTATATATATATGTATGATAGTCAGTAACAAAATAACCTTACTAGTTGAACCATTAACCTACTTAACCAAGAAAATGGACTATGATTAAGATATTAATTCATTTTTTTTCTTTGTATTTTAGCCATTTCTATCTTTACTAACAATAATTCTTATTTTTCAAATATATTTTTGTTTTATATGAAGAATATATAATATTAATGTGTGTTCACATTTTTCTATAAAATTTATAAAAAATGTCTATATTTTTATTTATTATTAATTATTATTTAATTCGTGAGATAATAAAAGTTGCTTATTTACCAAGGGGAAATGCAATTCCAATATATTGTTTGAATATCGGTTTTTAATATTGTGGTCAAATCAATTATATATATATATATATCATTTATATATAATATATATGTTATTTATATTGCATTTTGTAAACTTCTTATATGATGAAAATAGTTGAAAAAATGCTTATATTTTTGTTTTTCTTTATTTCAACTATTATATTTTCTTTTTCTTTTAATAATTTATTATTTTTTAAATTAAATCAGATTGTATTAGATTTGGATATCCGTCATCTTGATTAGATTCAGATTCGAATCAATATTTATGAGGTAATCAAATCTTCAGATCGAATCGCAGTCGAGTATACCTTGATTCAAATCTGATATGATCTGTTTGCATCCCTACCAAACCACTTGCCTACAATGACCTGGCTAATTAAATCGTTGAACCATTTGACATGGTTAGTGGGGTCATGCATTAGACATTTATACTCTTTATTTTTTATCCCATTTCTATCATTAATGATAATAAATCTCATTAATCACACTTTTTGATATGATGAATATATAATACTATAGAATGTTACCCAAAATTATCTACATTTTCTAGAATTTTAAATGAAAATAATTCTCATTAATCACACCTTTTTATATGATGATATATAATATTATAAAATGTATCTAAAATTATTGACAAATTTTTACATTTTCTAGAATTTTATATATTTTATTATTTAATAATAAGATCCATTTGACATGGATAGTTTAACCACTAACCCACCACTTGGATTGAAAAACCATTTTGCTTTTTTGGTTAATTTTAAATCATGTATTCCATTTTCATCACCGATAAAAGTAATTCTTATTTTCGCATTTATTTTTTGTTTAATATGGTGAATATATAACAATAGAATTGTATCAAAAAGCTTTATACAAAGCTTATATTTTTTTTGAATATATGTATGTATGTATGTATGTATGTATGTATGTATGTATGTATGTATGTATGTATGTATGTATGTATTTAATATTCGTTACTTAGTTATGACATAATAGATCAGCCCATTTGACCCAGAATGTTAAATCATTGACCTACCTACCATCTAGATATGGAAATGATTTCATTTTCAAAGTGGTTTTAAATTTTGCATTTCATTTATATCATTAATAAAATAATTATTATTTATCATACTTATTTTGTTTATATTATTAGTATATAATATTATAGATATGCCCAAAATTGTTTCATATTTTTTTGTACTATTCTATTTTAAACAAATTTATTTTTAATTATACATCATGGGTTAACCTATTTGACTTGAAATGTTGAATCACTAACCCACCCCCTGGATAGGAAGATGGTTTAATTTCCCATCGGTTTTAAGTTTTATATTTGATGTCCATCATTAATAAAGTTATGCCTATTTTATCATAGTTATGTTTTAATTATATGACAACTATATATTAATAGAAAAGTGTCCAATTCTTTTTAGTTTTTTCTATATTTTTTCTATTTTTAAATTTATATTACTTATTTATGACATCATGAAATTATCCAATTGACCCAAATGGTTGAAGTACTTACCCACCATCTAGATGAAAAATATGATTTCATTTCTATGTTTATTTTAAAAATATAAAATTTCATTATATTAATAATTATTGTGTATGGATTTATTAGTGGAATTTAATGATGATAAACAAAAGTATAAATGTTGGATTCAATGAGAGAGAATGTGATTTATTTAATGACTTAAATGTGAGGCTTAATGAGATGTAATTGAATGTACTTAATGGTATTCTTTAAATTACATTTCCTACCCTTTCAATCGAGATAAACTAAATTCAAGATGATGGGTATTTCAGTAAAGAAAAATTTCAGAAGCCAATATCTCCTCATTCTCACTTTTATAAGTAGTACTTAAAAAAGTGGATTCCCAAAAACACCTATAAACAGGTGTATCAGGGGCCAAGATACGATACGTTACACCCGATATGGGGTATATCATATCAAAATTTTGAACGTTGCTTCTATGAAGTCTTCTAATACTCCAAATATATATTGAAGAGTGAAAGAAGACAAAATGGAGAATAATGATCAAGAAAATAATGGTACGGAAGAATGTATACAAGTGCAAATGAAGTTGAGATAGTAAGGCAAGACAGGGTTTCTATCAAGGATCAAGAAACGATAGATTTAGATGGATTAGCTTAAGTTGATGGATCAGCTAAGTGTGGTGGAGCAAGGATGGAATCTACACAACCTAAGGTCAAGATGCTGGGATGGTATGGTTAAAATTTAGATGGTGGAAGGGGAAAAGTTAAATAAATATAGATGATTGGAGGAGAGTTGGTGAATCTGTTCGAAAGCGAATAGAAAAATCTTGTCAAAATAGAATAAAGAGTGTCTATAAGGTGTGAAACAAACAAGGAATCAAGGACATGAGGCCACTTATGTTAGAATAATCAATCACAATTGAAAGAGACTAGACAAAGAAGCTACATCAAAGGAAAAGGATGGCCAAAATCAAGAATGGGTGATAGTAAAGGAAAGAAAAATAAACACAAATCTAAAGAGGAACGGGAGATAGGCGGGATCAAGTTACATGCCCTCCCTCTTAGGCTATTTTCAAGGTTATAAATACTTTTTTTTTCTTTTCTTTAAAGAAAAACTATTTTACAAAAGGGTTTTCCAACTAACTTTTCCTTGTGTGCTAGCTATGCAGATAATAATGAGAACAAGATATAACTCTTCACAATTATAATATCAAACTAAGAGATAATAGAAATTTATATTTATAAAGAAAAAACTATTAACATATTGATGAATATCCATAAACTTTAAAATTAATTTTCAAATTATTTCTAACTTGTGAAAATCAAAATCTGGTTATTCTTTTAATCAAATAATTAAATAATGTCCAGTATTTTTCTCCATCAAGACATTCTTGAACAATCTCAACTTCTTTTGCTATCTTATTATAAGTTTATCACACTTTGTTAAAGTCAAGGCTTTAAAGAACCCAACAAGTTCATTTGTGCATGTATGATGTAACCAAAATGAAATGAAGAAGAAAATTAAAGATTGATATTTTTTATGTACAAAAGCTAGGAATGCTTTATTTTCTTGACCAAAATCAGTCTAATTAATAACCAACAAATCACGAAATATTTCAACTTGAATTAATTCAACTGCAAATTTATTTTGCAAACATAATTGTGATTGCTACCGGAAAGATAAAAAAAAAAAAAAAAAAAAAAAAAAAAAAAAAAAAAAACATAAATGTCATTATTATTGTCCCAACTAAATACTTTTCTGAAGTGTGATAAAACTATTTTCTCAAATTTGTCTAATAAGATTTGCAACAATTTTCTGTATTAAACATAAATTAAAGGAACATTTGGATTTGGATGGGCAAAAAATAGACAGCATAAACCATCAAGTTTCTTAGGCATAATGTGAGAAAATCAGTTACAGAAAGAATAGATTAGCAAATGGTGATTAGGCAACACCGAACACGATGGCAAGTTTGGCTTAACAACTTTTTATAGTTTCCATGACGACTTAAGGCCATAATCTCCAATTGACTCATCTTGATGACTGCATATCGTCAACCATTAGATTAATTAATTAATTAATTAATTGCCTTTTCTCATGCTTGCTTGGTCTAGTATAAGTCTGATTTTATATAAACTTTCCAACAGACAAATCAAGTTGCCGACAAGTTAGCTGCCTCTCTAATCCTGTAGATCCTGGTTTTTTCTCAAAACTCATGTATCTAGAATTAATTAATGATATTTTTGAAGATTAAGTTCTCACCCCCCCCCCCAAGAAAAAAAAAAAAAACAAAAAGCAAGAGAAAAAGGAAAAAAATATCACAGGAAATTAGTAGCTAGGTTAAACTAGAGCCACAAGTGGATTAGTCAGTTAAATTGGGATGTGGAGAGAGAGAGAGAGAAAGAGATTGCTTACCTACCAAGATGAGTAGATGTCATGGGTTCAATTCAACAGCAGCTTCCAATGCAACAGAAACAGGAGAAGTATCTGTATATTGTTGTATCAATCAGTGGCTATATGTAAATCCAGCCAACCAACTCAACAAGCTATAAGTATTCTACACATTCCACGATAAGACGGAAAATTACCACTCCCCTGAAAATGCAAAGTAACCATGGATGTATGTATATATATCATAGACATAGATCAATATCCTATATATTTTATGTATGTATGGAATATGTATCAATATATCCATGTACGTATCTACTGCCATCAATAATATTCTTTGACAAGAACGTCGACTGGTCTCACGAGACCAAACCAATAGAACTCTTCCTTTATCCGGCCAAGTCATGGAGCAATTGCGCTCCCATTAAGTTCCTATACGGTAGAGTTTGTCCCTCTCCATCTAACGACATTGAGTACTGAATTGATTGACAGTCTTCAATGTGGTCTCTGGTGAAGAAAAGAGAGTTGTGCGATGCTGGTGAGAAGGATGATAGGTTTACACCGCTTCCTCCGTGCTGTTGCAGTCCCAATGTTAGAGACACACCATTGCCGAGGTTCTGCTGGATACCGTCATTTGTGAAAGAGACAGTGCTAGCGGTGTGTTGGTTGTAAGCTGAGAAATCCAAATCGATGGCACCAAATGGCTCGGCTACTCTCCCCAGCTGTTGTTGTTGCTGCTGCAGCTGCTGCTGGAGTTGTTGTTGTTCATGGCGGTGGTGGTGGTTGTGGTTATTTCTACCGGCTTTACTATGATCATTTTTATCTGGGTTGTTGATGATGGAGGAAAGTGACTCAGAGTCGTCTCGGACAAGTTGGTCATGTGTGGGTTTGTGATCCTCCGAGTTGGGTTGAGCATTTTGATTGGACTTGTGGCTTTGGTTTGGCCGGCCGTTGTCCCCACCATGACTTGAACCCCCATCTGAGGAGGCCATGTTGTCTTGCTCTTTCACTTCTTCTAAGTACATCTCCTCCACCATTGGTTTCCACAGCCTGACCCTTGCATTAATGAACCAATTGGATACCTGTGGAAAAAGATAAATACGTAAATATAAGACAAGGGATGATTATCTTTATCATAACATATGAATATTATAAATCGTGGTTGGTCGATCCCAATAAGATATACACACCTCCATTGAGAGAAAGAAAGAATTTTCATGGATGAAAAAATATGTATATAAATAAATTTGAGACATGGAGACGTACCTGGCTTCTTGAGAGACCAGTTTGGCGGGCTAGAATGTGTTTATCCACATCGCTTGGATACCTACGAAGTTTCACCAGAATTACAGCATTGAGTATATATATTCTGAAACCGCCATGAGGACATGATTAAGATCCACAAAGGACTTCAAATCCATCAAAAGGAACAAAAATCGGTGGGGGAGGGCGTTGTAATTAGACCTCTTCATAAATCAGAGAAAACCACAACAAGATCATAGAAAAAAAATATAAGAAAGATATATCTTGGCAGTTGAATAATGATGGATGGAAGCAGCCAACAGGCTGGGTTTCTTAGATAATGTCTACAACATAGAGACACTTCAATAAGTACTGTGATTGTTTGTAGTGTTTTTCCCCTTTCCTGCCTACCCACTGAAAGAAAGCTAGCATGGAGAGAGAGAGAGAGAGAGAGAGAGAGAGAGAGAGAGAGAGAGAGAGAGTTACGGGTGAAGGAAGTGTTCGAACAGCCAAGCTCGAAGTAGAGACACTGAACGCTCAGGGAGGCCTCTTTGTGGTCTCCAGGGATGACTCTCCATCATGCTCATCTGCTGAAAAGCCCTTTGTTGTCTAAGGGTTTGGTCGAGAAGCCTGAGCCTTGGCGTCTCGCCCCTCGTCGTTCCCGGTGCAACTGGGTCCTTCTCTCCCATCGCCTTCTTGGTGGCTTTAATCTGACCAACAATCGCATCTCTTAGAGACCTAAAATGCTTCGACATGGCTTTTGACGCTAACGCGGAGTAGACTTTTGCAGTTCCCGTGCCGGCCACTGCTTCAAATGATGATACGACGGCCTTCATCTGATCACAGTATTGCCTGTATCTTCTATCCACCTAATTAATGAGAACAAAAAAGGAGAGACAGAGAGATGAGGGATAGGAAGAGAAAGAAAGAAAAGGAAGAATGTCGGAGAGTTTCACTCAATTCTCCTGCTCACCAGGGGGAAAAATAAATAAAGAAAAACATGAAGAATAATGACAAATTAAGAATTACAGTAAGCCGAGATGCCATGTAACGAGAGTTAAGGAATAGAGATTTCCAAAATTAAATAATGGGATGAAATTTCTGAATTGTCATGATGTGGGCATTGATGAGAAGGCCTTTAATTGGTTCAAGATTGAAGTCTCCATAATCAATCGAGACCACCCAGGAAAGGTAGAGTTTGGTTTCCACTATTTCAAATTTTATAGAATGGTCATTTTCGAGGTGTATTTTGCGTGGTAAAGACTGAAAGGTGGAGAATGCAAGGAGCTCTAGTTGGAGTGGAATGAAAATAAAAATCAAATATACCTCCTCGAGCATGGAAAGCAGTTTGGCTTTTCTTTTCTGTAATTCGAGTAGGTCAAGATTGTGCAAAGGTTGTTTCTGTGAAGGACAGCCATTCTCGTCCTCCCATTGATTGGACTTATGGAGCTTCTGTTTGGATGGATCAGTTTGCCTTGATCCGAGGCTGCAGATCTCGTTCAAAAGCTCCTGAGCAGTTGCTAAGTACTTTGAATTCTTGAGCTGAAAGTGGACCTGGTGAATATTTGCAGCTTTTCCAAAATAACCATCTTGCAGGATTTGCTGTTGCTGTTGAAGATTTGCAGATTTTTCAAAGAACCCATCTCTGGAGTTCAATGAAACATACCTAATATCATTTGATTGTCGCGGTTGATGATGATGAATTGACTCTCTCATCTCGAACGACTGCAATCCGATACCAGAAGGCCTGGTTGAAGAAAGAGAGAGCGAGAGCCCTTGACTGGGTCGCTCGTTAGCTTCACACGGAAAAACACACCTCAAAGAAGAATCGTCCACAAGTAACCTGTTATCTTGCCAACCCGATTCAGGTGCAACCATCAGATTTTCACCCGTTGTCTCTGAGAACCGACCAGAGAAATCGGGTTTATTGAACTCAGCTTGATAGAAATCGCTCGCAGGTCCAGTAATCGTCTTCGAAGAAGATGATGCCTGGTTTTCAGGTTTTATGAATAACCCTTTCCACATAACTAAGTTGTTCTCTCTCTCCTGAAGGTTCTTGGAAGGAAATCCTAACATATCTATGCCCGTAGTCAAGTTGAAAAGCTCTGGATTTGATTCAAAGCTTTGCATCTGGTTCATGAGATGACTATGAATTGTTGGCTTTTCATTAGATGAGGCATCCAAGTAGGCAAAACCAGCTGAAGAAACTAGGTTTCTAGATTTCTCTTGTGGGGATTCACCAGCCATACAAGAAAAATTCTTCTTCTACCTATTCTTGTTGTTGTGTATGCTGCGGCTTCTACATCTGTTTTTGATGATGACGATGTGAATTATTCTGCAATCGAAATACCATCAAATCTCACTCCTTAATTCCTAAACCGCCCCCCCTAAAACCCTAAAAGAAAACTCGTTACTCGCCATGAAAATTAAAAACACCGTCTATAAAAAAACAGTATCATCAACTTTACTTTTTTTACAGAAAGAAAAAAATAAAGAAAAAAAGCGTACACCTTCGGTTCAAAAAACTAAAACAGATTTCAATTTTTCATTTTTCTTATGTGCTTTGTCTATGCCAGCGTGCATGTGTTTCTGGTTGAACGATGAAGAATCATGTAAAACTGTAACGAACCAGCGAAGACTGCTTTGAGAAAGAGCCCTTACCGGTTATAGAAGATAAGATTGTTTTGATGCATTAACGGTCGCCAGATATGGTGGGTGTTGTTGTTGTTGTTGGTGGTGGTGGTGGAGGAGGAGGAAAAGCGAGGGGGGAGTGGGAGAAGAAGGCGTACTGGGGCTTTTCTGTCCGAGACTCTCTCCAAATAAAAATAACATAGGCAAACAAAACCAACCTAGGAAGGTAAGAGGTATCTACTCAGAAATAGTACCAGATAGAGCCATAGAGCTGATAATGACCACCAAGCCAGGATTTTCTTTCTATCCCTCCTTAGTCCATGGTGTGGGTCAATGCTCCATGGTATAAATACATCAAAATAAATAGGCTCTATCAGAAATCAAATCCTCTCTCTCTCTACGGTCTATGGTTCATACCCAACAAATTATTAAGAACAAAGAAATTAACCGTAAATTCAAAACGAAAATGAAATGTATTAATGTATTTAAATAATGGAACAGCAACCACTCTGGCCCTATCCTGGTTTTTCAAGCAGGTAGCATATCAGATATCACAGAAACAGCCAAAGCAGAAAAGATGATCGTCCTTTTCCCGCTTCACAAAACTACAGCCGCCAGATGACTTAATGCTTTCTCGCTTCACATGAGCTCCAGCCCAACTTCATATATGATATATCCTTCTCAAGTCTTAAGTCTTAACTCTCACCAGTCCAAACAAAAGAAAAAGATCATAAGCGAATAGAAAAAAAAAAAAGAGTTTCAGAGAATACATTGATGATCGATCTGATTGATAATCTCGAATCCCCAAAACTCTTTCCCAAGTTAACTGGCTTTTAAGGCTGGTTCCTGGGCCTCTCCTATTTGCTCTGTTTGGTCAGAACTTCTGATCATAATACTGATCATGTAAAGCTTTTCAGAGAGCCTTGGGAGAGAGAAAGAGAAGAGGATTAGAGGAATAGATGCTGGGTAGTGCAAAGTGTTCTATAAGTGGAGACTGGAGAGGGGGCGAGATGAGGTGGTCCAGTGTTTCCAACCAATACCAATTAAAACCCCTATTAAAGAACTCATCTTTTCCCCTCTCGTGTATTTCAGAAGGGACCGCCTCTCTCTCTCTATTCTCTCTCCTCTTTATTTTTAAACAAAGTGGTCCTGTCACTCTATCTCTCTCTCCGCCGATTGCCTTTCTAGTTTTCTCATCGAACTCTTTTGCCTGTAACAGCAGAACGCTATAAACCACAACTCCAATAATAGCATTAGCATGCTGACGGCACTTGCGTTGGCTTTTCTCCCCTGGTTTTTTTTTTTTTTTGGGTATGTTCATAGATTCCATACGCATGGTGCGTACATCACGGTATGAATTGTAAAAGAGAACCAGAGAACAGCCTCTCTGCCTGCCTTACTACTCACGTAACGCAATATTAACCCATTATTTTAATGAGCATTATTTGGGTATGGGCGTATGCCTTACTTAGTCGCTCATTTGATCGAACAGGTAGTGCGTATTGCACACCCCCACCCCCCACCCCTCTCCTCTTCTTTCTTTGCTTTTGGTGCGCATCATAACTCGTGTACGGTAAGTGCAGTCTGCAGAAGCGGTAGCAGACGTAGCAGTAGCTACTTTATAAAGAAGTTCAGGCAGGCTCCCTTAGGAGGCGGAGACGCCGGACGGGGTAAAAGGAAAGAAACAGGCATACAAAGCCTCAACTTTCACAGTAAGTTGTACATTTTAGCATGTTTTTACAGTTGGAGATTGGAATGTCAGTGTGTGGGTCCCTCACCCTCCATCAATCATCATCCTCCTTCGATGGTGGGGTGGGGCCATCATCTTCATCTTAACTGGTAGTGGATGGCTCAGATTGAATGGGTTTGGTGGGGTAGGTGTAAATGATGATGAAAATGGTACTTAGCAAACTGGGCTGGTGGGCCCTTCTTATGGTGGGCCAGGCACTCAAGACTCGTATACAGTTATACCAGTCCAAGATCAATTAGTGTAATCTCAAATGTTTGGAGACAGTAATAGTAATTTACTACCCTCCCTTGGGCCTTGGGCCTTGGGGTTGGAGGAGTGAAAGTGAAAGAATGGGGTGTCTGTTCCAAATAGAAAGAAATGGGTGTATTTCCTTTTGTCGTTTATATTTGGCAACCCAACCCATAAGTTTGCAATCGTTACGATGCTGGAAGGTTCCTTTCCTCAAATTAATTTCAAGGAGATTCTATGTACATGTACATCCTTCTATGGAGATGACTTTAATTGATAAAATATTGGAGCTCTGAATCCTAAACCCACCAAAGGACAACCAAACAAAAGTAAGGAGAAGAGTGATTTCCCTGAAACTGAAAGTAAACAGAGACCAAGCCTCTTTTCTCACTGGATTTTTTAGTTCGAGTTCCAACAATTTAACTGTCAACCCAACAGAGCTAGACTAGACCCCACCACAGCACCCAGGTTGCGTATATTAGGAGGGATCGATGGTCCCATATGGTATTGATTATTGTGGCTTGAAATTTTCATGTGCAACCTTAAATATGGAGAAATTCCTCTAACTAGTATTATTCAATAAGAAGACAAAAGAAATGAAACTCCCCATAAAGCTTTTTTTACCAGAAATGACAAAAAAAAGGGGGAAAACAAAGATGAAAATCAGAGTGTTAAGAAAGGAAAAGTAAGCTTGGGAAGTTGGAGTTGGAACTGGAATTGGATGGGGGCAGAGCCACAATCGATTAAGCAAGAGGATTATCACAAGTTGGAAAATAAAAATAAAAATAAAAAGCAGAAGCGTTTGTGAATGGATGTGTTGTGTATATATGCTTCATTGGTCCCCCCACTCCCACCCACACAATAGATGTGTGTAGTCTGAGCATGTGGACTATAAATGGAATAGTATACATATGGCCCATATGCTAAGGAGGTGGGCCCAGTCATATTCGTCGATTTCCCACCAATGTCAAAAGAAATGATTCCATCAAATAATTGTAATCGTCCAATCAATATACTTATATACCCTCCTCTCTTCTCTCAACAATTACCAAAAGTCTGTTTTTCTATTCAAAAGCTTGCACCTGAGAGTCTGAGACTCATGATCTTTGATGCTGCAAAATTTGGCCCCCCCCTCCCCCAAAGGAAAAGTCGGATGCAAAGTGAAATCTTAGCCAACTGACATTTTACGAATTGGGAGTAAAAATTGTATGATTGTTGTTGTACTGATAATGAGGTTCAAAGAATGATTCATGGGCTGTGGGCCGGTATGACTCGTCATCGACTCATTGTACGTGAAAGCTAATTTATTTACTATACCCCCTTCATATGATACCATCTGAATGGTCAAGGGTGCCCTGATCATCATTCACTTTCATGGATGTCTTCGCTTGGGACTTCTGGTATAATAATTAGTCTGAATCAAACAGTATCATCCATCACCAAGCAACAATGAAGCCCTACGCATGGAGAATGGAGGATAGGGTGGGGATGGGGCCCCGGCCCTAGTGATAGTGGCAAGGTATAGTAAGCTGGGTAAGGTAGTAGCTACCTAATAAGAGTCGGTAACAAGTAGTCAAGGAGTAGGCAGCCTCTGATCCTCCACTTTTAACGTTTTATGTCGGAGTCTAGGATGGTTGGACGGACGGCCCACTTCCGTCGACGCATGACTTGGGCTCTGGCGTTTGGGGAGTTCAAATCATCCCCTAACAAGATTGGCCCTCACAATGTCCCACAACACATCTTCCCCATGTATTAAGAACATCTTCCGATGATGATATCATCATTTCTGATATTATCATGAGAACATGTTCTCAATACACAGTGGGGATCCGTGGGATGTTGTGGGGGACAATCTTGTAGAGGGCATTCGGATGAATTCAAGGATTGAGAGAGAGAGAGAGGTTTTTTTATACCATCGAATGCATTGCTGCACTCAGCAAACATCATCAATGAAATACCACAAAAACTCGCACGCATGTGTTTTAAGAGTGAATGAATGTTGTGGTCCAACCATCACGACGGCACCACCCACATCCTCAAAACCTCAAATGCAAGGCAGCAAGGGTAGATGGGACTCCTCCATCACCGGGGGGGAGAGAAAGATTGGAGGTCCTAATCCTATCACAGCCGGCTGCTTACTCTTGTCCATATATCTGTGTTCTTGATGGGTTGGGCGATACTTTCCAGATCATAAGAAAGGTTTCAGGTGTGAAGAGAAATTGACATGTCTTTAGGTTATGTTTAGCCAATAAATGGTTTGAAAAATAAGTATTTATTTTTATAATTGATTATTTTTAAGTGCTTATTTGGGTTGCTTAATCAATAAGAAATTATATTTGTGGAAATGACAATTATAGTCATAAAGAGTTGTCCAAAATGAAGGAAAAATGGAGAAAAAGAGAGGAGATTCATGGAACTACTTCCTTGCTTGGAATCACCTGTTGTACATCACTGGTTTTTGTGGAGCTCAAATGGAGAAGACACTCAGCAGGATTAAAAAAGGATGGCGACAGTTTTGTCCCAAGAAACTGGAATAAAGCAGCCCTCAGGTTGTCTTTTTTAAGTTCTTATTTTAAAAATAAGCACTAATTGGCTCCTTTTCTTGTCAAATATCAATAAGTACTTATTTGGAACTAATTGTGTTGTTTCATCACTTATTTTAAGTACTTATTTAAATAAATAAGTAACCTATAATACTTACAAAAGAGTGGATGTTCCTTCATTCTGGATTTTTCATTGGAGTTTTCTATTCTTCTTGTCTAAACATACAATGTGCATAAAGAGGACATATATGTTATTTACTCTCATTTTAGAAACTACCCACTTATAACTGTCTAGAAACTGTTCACTTGTAACTGTCCAGAAATTATCCACTTATCACTGACCAAAAACTGTCCATGAATTATAAATAGTTTTGTCTTAAAGATACTGCAACGTATAAATACACGTACATGTTTACTAGTTAAAATAAATGATACCAAACAAGGGCTTAAATCCCAATATTTAACATTTAACTTATTTTTTGGGTACAAAGTTACAAACAAGGAAGCAAGCATTAACAACATTTCGGGGTAGTGAAATTCCACAAGTGTTCAAGCCTAATCCTTTCAAATTCTTTGAAGAAATTCTGCTGATCATTACAACTATAATGGCCATGATTTGCACGAAGTCAGCCAGTTGGTTAGTCTCGTAAATGCATAATGGAACTTGAAACCTCTCTCTCTCTCTAAATACAATTTGGATATCTCCTAAAATGTTTCTTATTGTCTATAAGGGAATGAGTACTTCTCTATTGATGCAATCAATGGTAAGCTTCTACCTCTCCATACTTTGAACTTTGGTTGGCTTTTAATATATGTCTTGAACAGATAATTAACCTAGGGGGTGAATTAGGTTTAAGTTTTTTGAAGTCTTTCGATAAGAATTTTATTTGTTTGTCTCTAGGGATTTTCTCGTGTTTAATTCCCCTATTTAAGTATATCATATTTAGGTTCTGTTTGGTTTAAAAAAGGTAGGGAAAGGAAAGGAAAGGTAGAGAAACCTATATCCCTACCTTTTCTTTCAAACCAGACATAGCATTAAAGGATTCTATCTTGGTAGAAAAATTTCCCTTTTGTAATATCAAGACTAATTATTGAAACTCTCAATGTACATAGAGCAACAAGTAAAGAGCAGTTGAATAATTAAGGCCCTGTTTGGTGTGTCTTTTCATGTGGGCTGTCAGTTGTTTATAAGCCTGGTAGTATGTATTTTCGTCTTTTCCCATTTGGTTGGGGGAAGATCTAGCTGTTGAAAAACTCCACCCTGCAAAGACGTAGGAAGCCTATTTTAGGATATTTTCGGGAGTCTCTAAATAGAGTATTTTCACTTTTTTGTCTTGTCTTCGCACAGAAAGACATGCCTCCAATCAAATGGTCTGTAGGCTACCAAGATCTTTATGTAAAAGCCCATTACATCTTTTGGTTGTTAGATCTTCCAAACGATCTTTTAAAAAAGACTTGTCAAATGGCACCTAATATTTTAACTAAATATTGAAATGCAAATAAACGGCAAATGCCTTGTATTTAAGTAAAATCAAATGCCCAAATGCTCAAGTGCTCTTGGAGGTACGTGCTTGTGCTTTATACAACGATAATAGCAATAATA